GTTCACTTCTTCTCGTCTTCCTCTACATTCCACAACGTACAATATGGATAATTGATGATTGATATTTGATTGTCCCTTTGGTATCCGATTCCCCCATCCGTTATGGAAAAGCTCACTTATGATAATGACTTCGAGATCCAAAGACCTTACCATAATATTATGTGATGACCCATGGGCTTAATTCGTCTCAAGCCCATACAATTAAAGCTCACTTGGCCCACCAAGGACCCATGACCTTGTCATTCTTTCTTTCAATGGCGGTTCCACCGCTGATATGGTACGGTTTGGGGATTAAAATGGTGATAGTGGTGAGAAGGCTGGCTGCCGCCGTCACCGGAGCGTGCAGGCTTTAAATTCTATTCTATATAATTAGGGGTTAATTGCAAGGATGGTCACTGGGTTTACTAAAATCGTTCATGTTTGGTCACTACAAATATTTAATTCCATTCATGGTCACTAAGATTAGTTCAATAGTTCAAGTTTGGTCACTCTCCGTTAGTCTCCGTTAGTTTTTGCTGACGTGGCAGTCAACTATTATAGTTGACCGTTAAATGAGTGACGTGGCCATTAAAAAAATAATAAAATAATAAAATTTAAATATTTACAATTCCCACCTCATTTTACAACTATTAAAAAATAAAAATAAAAATAAAAGGTGCGACGAGAAATTACACCATGAGGGTTTGGGAACCTGAAACGGACATCGGTGCCGGAGACGCGGCTTCTTGCGCCACGGTTCTGTACATTTTTTTTTCCGAGGAGGCTGTGAGGTAAGAGAACTGCCGGAGGTCGGAGGAGGTTAATTTCTGTCGCTTTTCTTCTAGGTTGAAGAACGATTTCCGCCAAAAATAAAAACTAGAACGAATGAATGAATGAACAAGTCTATTTTTATTAAAAAATAAAAATAATACAATTTCGACCGGCCGAAGTAATCGACCTCGTTGGTGAAACCCGGCCCCCATTGGTCGCTCCCGTAGGACAATCGACCGTAATTCACCAAAATAAACCGGTCACCGAGGTCTCCGGCGGAGTAGGACAGCGGATCGACCTGGCGGATTTCGAGCGAGCCGATTACTGGAGGGTCGGTGGCGATACTGTAGAAGCAGACATCCGCCTCCCCGTCCTTGACGAAGGCGAAGAGATCAGAGTAGGCGCCGTCGCGAGCTAGGGATTCGGGCCAGGGGGCGCGCCAGGAGAAGACCAAAGTGCCTTCCACTGAAGCGTCGAAGCTAGGGGAGTGGGACTTGCCGTCGTAGTTGTCGTAGACGGTAAAGGTGCGGAAGTAGTAGCGGCCGGAAGGGAGAGGGAGAATGTAGCAGTTCTTTTTCCCGGAGGAGAGCGGGAAGTAGCGGAGGGTCTTCTCCTGCGGGTGGCGGAAGTGGAGCGGCTCGGAGACGACGGTGGCGGATCCGCCGGTGTAGTAGCGGTCGGCGAGCCAGGTGGTGTTGCCCGAACTTAATCTATAACGCGGTGGTGAAGGGCATTGCCATTTCAAGAGAAAGGATGTCCTGGGCCAGGTCTACCTACTGTCGCCTTCATTACCGAGTCGACCAACTAGAACTAGTTCGATTTGAGACTTCTTGGTAAGTTTTATTTTTATTTTTTAATAGTTGTAAAATGAGGTGGAAATTGTAAATATTTATATTTTATTATTTTATTATTTTTTTAATGGCCACGTCACTCATTTAACGGTCAACTATAATAGTTGACTGCCACGTCAGCAAAAACTAACGGAGACTAACGGAGAGTGACCAAACTTGAACTACTGAACTAATCTTAGTGACCATGAATGGAATTAAATATTTGCAGTGACCAAACATGAACGGTTTTAGTAAACCCAGTGACCATCCTTGCAATTAACCCATATAATTAGTGGGTACACTTTTTGCCCAAAAACACTCTTTTACTGCTTCAATTTTTGTCCTTTAGTGAAAGGGCTCCCCACCTTCCCAATCCCCGCTAGACTAAAGAGAACCGAAGGACTCCAAAACTGGAAAAAAAAATTAAAAATAGGAAGGTTGCCCCATTTCTTTTTGCCGCCCCCTCCCCTGCCAAACCATTCTCTGTACACTTCCCTATCCAATCACATCACTCCCAATTTTTCTTCCAATCAACAATCATCTATCCATCTCTCAACTTTGCACCATCACTCCATCAGTTCTACATTTCCTTTTCCCATGGCTTTTTGGTCCTTTTTACTTCCAAATGGACATAAAAAAAATGTAGTACTAAGATTCACTTGGACTAGATTTACATTATAAATATTCGTTGCTTTCATTAATTCTATAACACAAGAACAAATGTTTTTTACAGAAACAAAGGTGATTATGATGCCCCATGCATGGACAGAGGTAATCCAATATTATACCTCTTTAACATTCCTCTGCTATAGTCCTATTATTACCCTTCCTCTAATCTCCCACCCTAATAAACACTCTTCCATGACCTTCCCCTTTCACCCAACTAAAACTGCAGCGGCAACACTCCCCATTTCCACACCTAAAAAATGAAAATTTTCCCCAACAAAAAAGAAGCAGAAGAGTTGAAAAGACCAAATGAATGGACAGCCCAAAATAATAGGGGAGAAATGTACAATGGACAGAAAAGAGAGCACAATGGCTTAATAATTAGCTTGCTACTGCTCCAACATTTTACTCAACTGATGCAGCCCTTTCGGTGTTCTCCTCCCCCACATCAGATAGAGATTTAGTTGGGAGAATGGAGGGAGGAGACCATTGATCTGGGACCATCAAGAAATAGGTAGTCATTGCCCCTCTTATCACTTTCTTAACTATTTTCTAAAAATTCAGCGGCCACCTACAGTTCTCGATTCCTTTTTTTCTTCGCTTTGAGATGCTGAGGAAGAAGATGTGGCGATGATGTCAACATCCAATTGGGAAAAGCCGTGTCGGCGGAAAAAGGGGAAGCTCTGGCTTGAATGTGCTTTGTCAATTGATAGCCAACGCGGCATGAAACCTGTCGACCGAGGAAGAGCCTCTACCGGCCATCATTGCTCAATCGCAACCAGAGATCAGTTGGTCGTCAAATACTCAATGGCGAGGGGAGACAAAGAGAGGTCTGTCGGTCAGAAATTCGGGTATAATACCTGGCTAGCTTGATCCATTTTTTTTTGTCTCAACTAGATCAGCTTTACTAATGTTTTGTCGCGGTGGTGGCCGGTTCCTGTTTGCAGTGGCCTGAAGTCCTGAACGACAAGGATGACAGTGGCTAAAACAATCTCTTGACTACCTGAGCAGGACCAGTATGAAGCGGTAATCAAAGGAGGAACTTAGAAGCCCACCAATAGGTATGCTTTGGTCTTACTCTGTTTGACTTCCTCTTTGTTCCTTTTATGGTTCTCGATTCTCTTGCTTCCCATCTCCAGCGACTGCTTTGTACCTTGACATACCAATGTACATGCGTTGTTCTTTCTTTAGTCCATCACTTGCTATGGAATGGTTTTCTACAAAACAAATTTCATACTCCAAGCCCATCATGATGAGGAGGAAGAAGGTCACCATCACCAGTCTCCAACTTCTCTCAACCCGATTCTCCGTTCCTGGACTGCAAGACTTCCATGGTAATTAAGCTTTATCTTCCGATTCTTTTATGGTAATTCTGAACTGGGTGGGATGATTGATTTGTTTTCTTTTAGGGATGGCATAACGCTACCTCCCTTGATTTGTACGGTCCTCGCCTTCCTTCCCTCGATTGGTGAATTATCTCTCCTATTAGTTCCTATTATTTTCTTTCTATTCTGACTTCTTTTCCATATTATTTCAATCTTTTCCTGCTTTTCCCTTGGTGTTAATGCATGAAGTGGAATCTAGACAGCTCACTGACCATGGTGGTTTATGTTGGGGTTGAGATCGTTTGAGGCTAAGATCATCCATCTCTATTGTCCATCGTTTTTTCTAGCACCTTCACTCTCAAACTCAGTTTATGTTCTTTCTAATAGCAGTAGATAGCTGAAACTGGTCTCTCGCATGGCGGTTTAGGTTGGTGTTGAGATCGTTTAGTTTCAGGTAGCTAAGCTTGGTACTACTGGTATAATTGTTCCAACAAATTTTTTAATGGTCATAAGGGTTTTTTTTCTTGGATTTTTCTTATTCGTTAGGTGCAACTGAGGGTTCTTTGGCTCCATAAGATCAAGTTCCTTTACCTCCCATACAGAAAAGGTAGCGATTCCCTTAACAGTGGTGGACCGAAATCTAGAGACCCATGAACCATCTGGGAAGATCAAGTTGCACTTGCCAGAGATGAGTCATCCTATGGTGATGCAGGTCTCAATCTTCTAAAATGATTTAACCATCCCACCATTTATTGTAAGACCTATTGGTTTCTGACAAATTCCTACTGATATTTGTCTATGATTATTTAGTGATTGATTTTCTGGTTTTGTTTAACGGCCTCTAATCGCCCGCTGAGCCTTTTTTTTTGGGCTCAATATGTTCCTCAGAGAATCAACGCACTTTTATTTGAACTTGAGTTTACTTTCTATAATCACATAAAAGATGTACTGAAACACATTCCTTCCTACTATGACATTATGAGATTTGCAGAGAAACAACTTACTTTCCTAGGCTAAAAATTGAACAGTAATAAAGTCATGCCTTGGACAATAACAGAAGGATCTAAGGGCTAAGCTAATTTGAAAGAGTATAGTTCAGTAGATGATAATTTAGTTTGCTTTCATGACAACTAAAACGATACATGGATTACTAAAGATGATCCTACATGTTGTTTTTCCTGCTTTTGAACAAACCCGTCAAAAATCAATTAGTAGTCAAAATATATTAATGTCACAGTAATTACACTGACTTTGTTGGAAAACTCGAGTTGGTGTACAAGTGATTGCTGGGATTTTAAAACAATTAATATGTTTGATTTCCCGTTCATTCGTTATGTTAGTTATTAGAGTCGTTATTGGAATTGTGTCATTCATTTCTTCTCACTGCCGTCACCTAAACTGACCACCATACGATCATATGTCAATGCAAATTAAGTTCACGCGGCGTTGCGCAGCCGCCGCGGGCATTGATTCTAGTTGGAAATTACATTCAGCTCCAGAAGTAGATTTACAGAGTAAAGCGTCTTAGGGAAACAAACCAACATACAACATTAGAACTCCTAATTTGATCAAGTTTCCGTCGGAGCAAAAAAAAATTCAGGGCCGCCGTGGATCGACTCCGACGGACTCGAGTGTCTCAGCGCGCGCGGGCGGGCGGGCGGGCATAAACATCGCCGGTCTCAGCAGTAGGGCGAGGCAAGGTCTGAATCCCGCTCTTGAACTCCTGGACATGGGCCACTTTCCTGAACCACGAGTGGCCCAAAAACCTGGTCGACTCGTCCACCACCTTCTCCGGCTCCGCCACCTCCGGCAAAGTCTCCCTCAGCCTCTTCCTCACCCGCACCGACGGGCTGTACAACATCTGGTGCGCCACCGTGTGCAGCCCCATCGACGCCGACAGCACCATGAACCCCAGCGCCACGTACACCGGCGCGTACTCTCCCCTCGGCGGCCACCACGAGGACGACGACTTCCTTGCGAATTGATGATGATCCGCCGCTGGGGAGTATGGTTTCATCTTGGGCAGAGTTGATGTGGCGAAGGTGTTTGTGTTGGTGTTGTTTTTGCCGCCTATGAGAGGATTCAGCGAGCGTTTCCAAAGACCCTGCAAAAGGGAAGGTTAATAGATTATTAGGCTGATTAAGTATTATGCTTGGTTGATCTGAACGGAAGGTTGATTCAAAGGTGGCTTACTGTTGATCTGAAAGCCATGGCTTCTTGTGCTGTAGTAGAAAAGGTGGGATCTTGTTTTGGTAAGGTGGGATCTTGGTTTGGCGGGCTTATATAGTAGAGAAAGGGCCAAGGGGGACTCTGTATCTTATGGATTGGATGTTTCATGAATGTAGAAGCCATAGGAAGGTAGTGTTCTACTCCAGAACCCTCCGGAAAGGGAAGTGAAGTGGGCGCACGTCATGCTTCATCGGAACAATTTTCTATCATTTTCTTCATTTCAAAGCAAGGACACTACGTTAAATATAAATAAATGAAGTATATCATGTTTCATGTGAGGTATTGTATAGTTTATGAAGGGATGCAGTGGAAAGTGTCACTTCTGTAGCAGAGAACTTCATATAACAACGAGTTCCATCAATACATGCATGAGATGAGATAGTAAAGACTCCAACGAGAACCAAGAGGAATGGCAGTGATACAAGTTAGGCCAATGGGCCAAAACAGCAATATGTATCAACAAAAGAATCTGCCAATTGTTCAGCTGATATGATATAAGTTGAAGGCCAGAGCTAAAACCTGCAGGAACAGAATTGTAGAGCATTTCTGTGCTGTGATTTTTACCAGAAGGAATCAGAAAACTCATGAAGCATTCCAAGCAGGAGGAGGCACAGTACCATAGCAAACTATCGAGAGCTCGTTCATCTTAATAACTTATGAGTTATTGGAAGAGGTACAGGAATGAGACCTTACATCATTCCATGCACAATGATGTGCTTCCCGCACGAAAATGAACTCAATGGCTTGAAATTTTGCATGCAAATGTTACAGCTTGTGCTCAAATCACTGTCAGTACTAAGAATAGTTAGTTCGAGACTGTCTGACACACAGACACGGCCCATCGGTTGATTAAATATTTTGATATGTTGAGAACTTAATCGTATCTCATTAGAGCGGTTGGAAGAAAGTCGTAATGGACTGCTGATGCTCTCTGGAAAAAGGCAGAGTCATGGACTCTTTTTAAGTATTTTGCAGAAGGGAGAAAGAAAAGACAATAAGTAACCAAGGTAGAAGAATCAGTATACTAACTGCTCATTTGTTACCATAATAACTGCAGAAGACCCAATAGATTCTATTGCTACTATCTGTATGATAATATGAAGAGCATACTGTCAATTTTTTATATTCAATAATTCAGAAGAACAAACCAGATCATCTTCATCTATCAATCACTCCATTCATAACCTGGAGAAGGAACCAAATAATTTGTGAAAAGGAAAAGAGGACAACAAAGATACTTTACACTATTAGATCCAACAAACCTCTCTGTTGAATCAAAATAACCTATTTCTGACTGTGCACAACTCCCACCTGCATCAAAAGTCCCACAACCCAAAAGGGAACAACAAACAGACATTAATATCACTCACTCAAGTAAAATTTTGGGAGATGGAGGGAAGATATCAAAGATGGAAACTCAAGTAAAGTAATCACCTTTAGTTGAAGAAACTTGTGGGTTTTACCCATTTACAAAGAGAGGGAAGCAAAATCCTTCAATCCAATCCAATCCAATCCAATCCCTATTATGACAAACAAACCATGAACCCAAAAACCACAAACTCCCTCTCTTTTCTCCCTCTCCCTATATATCAACAAACAAACAAATCTCTAATCCCTATAACACCATCGGTTCGATCCAACAGCATCAACACACTGACTGATCGTCCCAAAAGTGAGCAAACTAGCTCAACTGTATTCATTTTTCTCTCACTGCCCTCCCGACCCTTGTGAATCATCCTTCCCACCTTGCTGTTGCTGCTGCTGCTGACTTTGATTCTGATCATGATTCTGACTATTCTGCTGCTGCTGTAAATGGTGGTGCTGATTCACTCTCCCTTGGCCCATCTGCTGATAAATTTGACTCAAAGCCTGTGGATTTATCCCTCCAATATGCCCATCCTGTGACAACCCAAGCTCCAAACCAGGCAATTGCTGCTGATGATGACTACTATTACCGTTCCCCCCTCCCAAAATTGATGCAAAGCTCATATGCCCCATATTTCCACCACTCAAGTCGAACCCAGCTGGAAACCCAATTTTCTGCAAGTAATTGTTAGGATTACTATTCTCAGCAAGGGCAGAAGCGTACGGCCAAATCCCTACTCCTGCTGGTGGCCAATTGGTGGGCCTACTGGAGCTGGGCCCCAAATCAGAATGAACCCCAGAAGAAGGGAAATGAGAAGTAGAAGAAGAAATGGGGAGAGGACCAGCTGAAGCCAAGGCAGAGGCCGGGATGGTCCCAGTACCGGTGGCAGCTATAATGGAAGGCTCAGCCTGCTGGAGAAGCCACTGGATGGTTTCTCCATCGGATTTGTGACCTAATTCTCTGGTCAACTGGAAAATCCTTGCTGCACATAGAGCTGGCATCCTAATCCTCCTCCCTCGGCCTTCAACTTTCGTGTGTCTGTCCTTGTTTGAGCTTCGCTTGGGAGCTAACTGCTGGGTCTGGTTCTGGGTCTGAATTTGGCTTTGGGTCTGCTTCTTGGATGGCTGTGGTGGTGGGTTTTGCTTTGGGTTTGATTCTGCTGCTATTACTATTTGGAAGTCCTTGATTTCAGCTGGCTTGTTGCTGCTGCTGGTGGTGGTGGTGTTCATCTCTCCCATGGTTCTGCTGTTGTTGGCTAGGAGGTGTTGCAGTTCATGAGATGATGTAGAAGGGGACGAAGAAGGGTGGAGGAGGTGGTGGTGTTTTGAGTTGGAGGAGGTTTTGGGATCCATGAGAGAAGATTGGTGGGCTGAGATTAAGATAAAGAAATAAAGACTCGATTTTTATTTTATTTGGGGGGAAAGGAGGATTTTTCCTTTTGGGATAGTTCTCTCTCTGCTTCTATCCTCTGTTTCCCACTCTCTCTGTCTCTGTTTGCTTGGATGTTTAGAAGGTGAGCTGGGAGAGAGAAAGTCCTCTGTTTTCATGACTTCTCCTTTGTCACTGTTTTTGGGGGAGGGGGAAAATAGAACTGCCAGAGACTAAGATGTAGTCGTAAATGAATCAAAGTAGAAAGTTAACCCATATGTGTTTCAACCTACACTATCTGCGGTTAGTTCAATTATGCAAATTTATGAAATTCTGAAACATGTTCAAATTGATAAGTACTTGATTGATAATGTCAGTTCAAATAATAATTCTAGCGAAAATGATGCTTGTGTACCTTATTGTACCAAGTATTGTATAATCATTGATACTTGAGAGATTGTTACTTGAAGTAAAATGATCACATTCACTTATTAATTGACCAAAATAGCTTAGTTACACCGACTAAAAATCAAATTATGTACCGATTAGTCTTGACATTTAATTGAAAGTTTGATTTATAGTTAGATAGTAGTGTAATAATTAATGAGAATTAACACAGTGATAATTTGGGTTCAATTGCTCGATAATGTGCCTCGTTTTAGATAGAAGTTTACTCTAGGGAAATGTTTTAAGCTATATATGTAATTTCCCTTTCTGTTCTCTCTCTCTATCCCTGCCAGAGATCCCATGCAAACATGGATCCGTCTGAGACTTTTGGTTGACCACTTCCTTTTCAGCTGTTCAAAGCTGTTCTGATGGCAGGTTGTGAACTGTGATTGATATGCCTTCTTGGGCTTTTCTTCAAGTTATAATTCTCTCATGCATTCATTCTCCATTGCATGTGGATTCTCAGATTGGTTCCATTTACTTATTTATTCATTAATTAGTATTATTATTTATCTCCTGAGGCATGGCCTTGCATGCCATAATTGAAACAAAAGGGCATTCATGTTGCCTTGTCTTACAAGGGAAGGGACTCACACTCACCCAATTGCAATTGGGGAAAAGAAAAGAAAAGAAAACCCAAGTTAGATGCTTGGCTTCTCCCTTGTGACATGTACCTGCCTACGTGGACACTTGTGATTAGATAGTGAACATTCCTTTCTATATCATTAAACGATTATATTTTGATAGACTTGGCCATAATTTACAAGTCACTACTATATCCTATTAGGAATTATTGTATTTTGAAGAATGAGTAATTACTTTATATATAGTCTTGAACTAAATAACTTACAATCTTACATCAAATAATTGTCCATAATAAGTTGGTTTAAAACTCGAATTGTTTTAAAAAATATTAAATATGAATGTTTTCAATACTTAGTTTAAATCGTTAGAAGGAATTCATTATAAATCTTATCATTTCCATATAATAATAAAAAATTAATACAAATTTTCTCGATAGTTTAAATTGTTAGAAGGAATTAATTATAAATCTTATTGTTCTCATATAATAATTTTCATAACAACCCTAAATGGAAGATAAGTAAAGCAGAACAATTCATTTAATAATATCCATAGCAATTTTAAATGGAAGATAAGTAAAGCAAAACAATAATTAACTATAAGATCAATCACTCAAGAGCCTGAGGAGTTATAAGGGTGGCATGGAACATGGTTAGGGTGCCTTACAAATTGATTGTTTATGTGTAATTGGTGCATGAGTTCATTATCATGAATTGGGTTGGGTTCCTCTTAAGTCTTAACACTTTACCTCTTTTCTTTTTTCCTTTTGTTTTTTAGGGTAAATATCCTGACAGTACTTTTGGTCTTTGTCTTACTTTTCTTTTCGGAAAAAATCCCAGAATATTCGAGTTATTAAAAAAAATTCCCTAAATACAGTACTTATAAAACTAATTCCCAAAGTACAGCAGTTTCAACATCACTGTCTTGGACAAAGACAGTGATAGTAATCACCGCTTTCGTCCAAAACAGTGAAGCAGCGGGGAACGTATCACCGCCTTGTACAAAAGCGGGGAACGTATCACCGCCTCGGACAAAAGCGGGGAACCTATCACCGCTTTTGACCAAAGCGGGGAACGTGTCCCCGCTTTTGACAAAGGCGGGGAACGTATCCCCGCTTTTGACAAAGGCGGTGAAGGCATCCCCGCTGCTGTCAACAACAGTGATTGCCACCACGTTTTACATAGCCCTGGTGGGTGGAGAAGTAGGTAACAGCTACCTAGCTATCATCGCTGTTGACTAAGGCGATGATGTGTTCACCGCCGTGGTCCAAAGCGGTGATTAGCTCTCATTTTTTCCTATAAAAACCCACGCCCACTTCCCTCATGCTGCCAAACAGCAAATTAGTAAAAAAAATTTCGTTTTGTTAAGTCGTTTTCGCAGCTGGTTCCTCCGTAGTTTACTGCTCAAGAAACTCGTCGGGATTCGGTATGTTAGAATTATGTATTGTTTACATTTTGATGATGTGTTAGAATTAGGTATGTTAGAATTATATATTTAGATTAATTATGATATGATAGATGTTAGTTAGTTAGTACTGAATTTAGATTTATTTGTTTAGTTTTCTCATGATAGATCGGGATTGAGTATGTTATAAGTATGTATTTTTTACATGTTGATGTGTTAGTAATTATATGTCTGTATTTAGTGAATTGCGGTTATTGGAAAATATGTTATGATATATTTAGTTTAATTATGGTATGATAGATGTTAGTTAGTTAGTTATGAATTTAGATGAATTTGTTTAGTTTTCTCATAATAGATCAATTAGTTGCATTTTATTATCGCTTTGGATGATATTGTTTTTGTATCCATAATGTACTAATTATATACTATACTTAATTATTATACATTGCAGACATGGGTAAATTTAAGAAGTTTCGACTTATTATTTATTGGAATGGTCGGGTGACAAACTCGAACATTGGGATCGACTATGAAAATGGCGAATCCAGTATGCTTACAATTGAGTCGAGATTCTCGTGGCAAGAACTCCATGACAGGTGTGCAGAAAGGACTTGTACGGGCGGGCAAATGAGAGTTCGTCAAATTACTTACCGGTATCCCAACATGAGTGCTGACGGAGTCATGTACGAAAAAGTTGACATAAATGATGATGACGATGCGAACATGATGATACAGTTCATATCTGAGAACGGGGTGCGGCTTGCAGAGGTGTATGTCGAGACCGAGCCGGTCGGTGAAACTCATTCTCACCAGTATTCTTATGATGATGGTTTTGCAGGAGGGTATGGCTGGGGTGGTAGTTCAAGTAACTACGGAGCAGGTTCTTCTGCCGTCGATATCGTTCCCCCCGACGGTGATCAATGGCCTGCTTGGGGTCCAGAGTGGGGTGACATTGAAAACACCTTTCGATCTGGGCGTACTTCACATGACCAAGAAGGCGATGCTGGTTATGCTGGTAACGATGACCATTCTGAGCCGAGTAATCCATTCGCCTCCAGTGACGATGAAAGTGAGGAAGATTTGAGATCAGTCAGTGAGGAGGAAGATACGGACGATATCGACGAGATCGATGACAGTGAGGTGGCGTTCCGTCAGGCACCAACGCCTTACTACACAGAGGTTCCTGATCAATTTTTATATGGTCAGAACGATGCCCCTGACTTTCGGCCCATGCCTGTGTATAATCCGACTGCTAATTTGGAAGTGGGTATGGCGTTCACTTCGAAAGCCGATGTGCAAGACGCTTTTAGCGAAGAAGCCATGCGGCGTAACTTCGAATGGAAGGTAAAATATTCTGACAAGGGACAACTGCATGTCATTTGTAAGAATGCCGGAGAGGGTTGTATGTGGCAACTTCGTGCTGCATATATGAAGAGAAAGGGCGTCTGGGTCATGCGGACAGTAGAGAACAACCACAGTTGCTCCTCAACCATACTTTCACAGGATCACCGGCAACTGAAAGCAAAAAAAGTGGCAAGAACCATTAAGCACCTTATCGAGGCACAACCAGATATCAAGATAAAAGCTATCATGGCGGAGGTGAAGGATCGACACTCCTACACCATAAGGTATAAGAAGGCGTGGCATGGGAAGCAGAAGGCCATGGCTGAGGTCTATGGTGATTGGGATGACTCGTATGCTTTACTCCCCAGACTAATGTCCGCAATGGAGGAGTCCAACCCTGGGACGGTTTTCGTGCCTTGGTACAACAACGTAGAAACTGAAGATCAAGTTCGAGTACAGAACGAGTTGATGTTTCATCGTCTGTTCTGGACATTCAAGCCATGCATTGACGGGTTTCCCTTCTGCATGCCAGTGATTCAGTTATATTACGGACTCAAAATATTGTACTATTTCATTACTTTACTAAATTCAATTTTTACTAACTCATTATTCATTTTTAACAGGTTGATGGAACTTTCCTTACTGGGCCAAAAATATAGGCATGTAATCATACTCCAAAAATTAACTAACATTAAATCTAATAATGTTAATTAACATTCTAGCTAATATAGGCATGTAATTATACTACAAAAATTAACTAAAATAGGCCAAAAATTCACTTACCACTGCGCCCCAAACAGCACCTTGCTTTGACACCCATCTTAGCGTGAAGTTCCGATACCACCGCATGTAGCCATCGTGGTACCCCATTGGCCTTGTCTCCGGCGCCCCTTGGACCACCCACTGATTTCTATTCTCCCATATGTTGATGTAGAATTCATGCTTGCGGGTCCAATCCTTTTTGTTGTAGCGTAGGTCAATGGCGTGGAGCTCCCTGAACCCTTGAGGTGGGGATGCTGGAATTGGTTGCTCCAATCGATATTGCCTCAAAGATCGATCGGGCAGGTGCCACTCCACCATGTGCCAGCAGATTAAGGGCACCTTGCACAACCATGTCTCTTGATCCTCGGGATGTCTAAGACGATGCAACTCAACCACTTCATTTGGATATGGATCCCATACCGCCTACAATCATTATAATTCATGG